GGTAGCGAGAACTTGAGGAACGAGGGAGCGAGGGGTCAAGGTGAAAATAACCTTGTGTTCTCAGGGCGAGATCCTTGCATTCTAAACAAACAGGATTTTTTGTACAATCAGGGGCAATAATCCAGAAAGTTATGGTCAGAAATGCGCAATTATCAAAAGGGACCTAGATCTTTGGGATATAAAGATATGTTTTAAGTTTCATTTGAATCGGATAAAAATTGTGACCTCTAGAGGGTTGACAACCGTATTGCATAGTTTTACACAATTTGCGTACAAAGAGCGGGCATTTTGTTGGGCAGTTTCATTTCGATTTTACCGAAATTCGAATTCAACCTTCATTATGGTGGAATGGTGAAATATTTAAACGGTTTTAAAATCGGAAAAAAAAATTGTGACCTAGAGAATCCGCAAGCTAAAAATGCCATTTTTCGAACAATCAGGGGCCATAATTCAGGAAGTTAAGTTCGGGTATCCGCGATTATTCACACATTTTTTTTAAATCAGATAAAAATTGTGACCTCAAGAGGGACCTCAAGCTAAAAACGCGATTTTTCGTACTATCCGATATGCGTGAATATCGAAAGGAACCAAGATCGTTAGGTTATAAACTTACATTTCAAGTTTTATCAAAATCAAAAGGGTCCACAACATTGATATACCATATTTTTACGCTATTTGACTACAAGGCGTAGCCATTTTGTCTGTCAGTTTTGGTTTGATTTTTACAGAATTCTAACTCAACCATCCTTAGAGTGTAATGGTGATGTATTCAAACGTTTTTTTAAATCGAATAAAAATTATGACCACAACAAAGGGTCCACAACATTGATATACCATATTTTTACACTATTTGACTACGAGGGGCGGCCATTTTGGGGCAGATTTTCACAAAAAAAGAACTCAACCATCCTTAGGGTATAACGGTGATATACTAAAATGTTTTTTTTAAATTGGATAAAAATTATGACCTCTATAGGGTCCACAAGCTAAAAACGCGATTTTTTGTACAATCAGGGGCCATAATTCTTGAAGTTACGGTCCGATATGCGCGAATATTCAAGTTTCAACAAAATCGGATAAAAATTTTGACTTCTATAGTGTCCACAAGCTAAAGACGTGATTTTTCAGACAAACGGCGCCATAATCCATGAAGTTTCGATCGGATACATGCCAATATCGAAAGCAACCGAGATCTTTTGGAGATAAACCTATATTTCAAGATTCGTCAAAATCGGATAAGAATTGTGACCTGTAGAGTGTCCATAAACAAATTGTGAACGGACGGACGTCCGAACGCGGCGACAATATCCGTCCACATGAAAATATGGGCGTATAAAAATTGTGACCTGTAGAGTGTCCACAAACAATTGTGGACGGACGGGGGCGACGACAATATATGTCCACATGAAAATGTGGGCTTTTAAAAATTGTGACCTCTAGAGTGTCCACAAGCTAAAAAAGTGATTTTTCAGACAAACAGGGGCCATAATCCATGAAGTTATGGTCCAATACATGCCAATACCGAAAAGAACCGAGATCTTTGGGAGATAGATCTATATTTCAATGAAATGGGGTTTAACGTCCTACTGTTCCGCTCCAAACTGGACTAATGAAGATGGGCATACGCCATACAGTGTGCTATGAGGGAAATTTTGCCCGGACGGCGGCACTACGAACTACTCTTATATTGAATTCCAACTGTCAAAAGATCTTTTACGTGCACGCCAAAATCTGGATGAACTTTCTCGGCCAAAGCAGGGATCAAACACCCGAACTCTGGGCTAGCGAGCCAGCGTCTTACCGACTTAGCCACGTGATCCCAAGTTTCGTCAAAATCGGATAAAAATTGTGACCTGTAGAGTGTCCACAAACAAATTGTGGACGGACAGACAGACGGACGGACGTCTGGACAGACATAGGGGACGACAATATTCGTCCACTTGAAAATGTGGGCGTATAAAAATTAGAGAATTTGAAGGTGGTCACTAAAGAAATTCTTGATTTTTGCCTGAATCTTACAGAAAGTGGCTCTTAAATTTAACAAAAAATAAGACTACCGTAACTACTAAACTAGTTCAGATTTTTGAAGCGGGAATCTGAAGAAAAAAAATTGAAGCATATTAAGCTTATATTGCAAGAAACTTTCACTTTAATACACCTAGTTGATACACTCTGTTTTCAATAATTATTTTATGGTATTTTTAGCATTTACTGTTATAGTGTCGGCCTAATTAATTATATCCGGGAAGTAAAACTCCCCCGATATTATTCGTACAATACCAGATGTGTATGCAGATATAATACGCAATTCCCATAATAATTAAGTATTTGAAAGTTCGCTAAACACATAATAAAAGAATCGGTACATAAACAAATCAAGCGAATGAATCCATGCCATGTTTATTAAATTATTTTACACTATTATCATGATTATACTATATCTATTAGATCACTATTTCACTTATATCTTTCTTACTTACGAAATGATAATCCACTCTCTTTCTTGCCCGACATTAAAATAACCTAAACAACAAGCCAACAGTGAGGCTGATGTCCCCCACCGAAATGCCAAAATAAATAGATGACACATTAATTAATCACACATTTTTTTTTTTTCAAAAGTATCAAACAATCAAACTGATTATCATCTATACACTAAGTTCCATCACTCTCTATCAGATAGAATCAAAGTTATCTTGTCCCAAAGCATCGACCAATGAAATTGCTTAGCTCTGCTTAGCTTTAGCTCGAAATGTTAATCACTGAACTCAGTCAAGACATTCTCCTATTCCTAATGAACATCTACATCAAGTTTAAACATTCTACTTCTATCAAAAGCAGAGTTGCTATGTCTTGACCAAGCAGAAAATTCTCACCATTGAACTTAGTCAAGGTAATGATATAATGAATCTATATTCAGAGTTTCATCGCTCTCACTTCATTATAACCAAAGTTATCATGCCCCAAAGCATCAACCAATCAGATTGCTTATCTCTGCTTACCCTAAGCAGACAATGTTCACCATCAAACTCCATCAAGGCATTCACTTAATGAACGGCTACGCCAAGTTTGAACATTGTACCTCAATTAGAAATTTCGATTTGACAGTTTTTACATATTTTTGAAACCGGTGTCAAAGTGTGTTGGTTTTGTGATGCACGATCATTTTCAACGTTCCAAATTAAAAGTTCGGTGCTAAGACCACCTAAAGATAAATTTTAAATGTTCCTATTATAAATTAGAACAGGTTTCGCTTTAGTTTTTATATTTTACGTTGACATTTTATTGCTTTAAATCTTCCTAGTGCAAAAATGGTAAATTTCACCTTTTGACCTCCAGGGTCACTCAGAAGGTGAATTTTACAAGTTTACATTTTTATTGAAAGTGTGATTACTTTCAATCATTTTCAACTTCTTTTCATAATACAAGAATGACTGTGCATTCACTTTCAGTGCAAATGAACTCATTTGACCCCGAATATCTCGAAAACGCCCCAACCACTCGGCATCGTATTCTACGCAAAATTTTACTCTAGAAAAGTTGGGTCTGATTTTGTGCCCATTTGATGGACCCCCCCCCCCCATTACACCAATTGTCCTCACTCTCACTTAATTAGAACTAAAGTCAGCGTGTCCAAAAGCATCAACCAATCAAATTGCTTATCTCTGCTTACTCTAAGCAGAAAATGCTCATCTTCGAATCCATCAAGGCATTGAACTAAGAAACACCTACACCAAGTGAGAACATTCTAGCTCTATTAGAATGAGAGTTATTGTGTTCCAAAATCTTGACCAATCAAATTGCTTATCGCTCTGCTTACCCTAAGCAGAAAATGCTCATTATCGATCTTAGTCAAGGTATTGATGTAATGAAACTATACAACAAGTTTCATCACTCTCACTAAATTAGAACTAAAGTTATCGTGTCCCAAACCATCAACCAATCAATTTGCTTATCTCTGCTTACCCTAAGCAGAAAATGCTCATCTTCGAACTCCTAATAAACGCCTATACCAAGTTTGAACATTCTAGCTTGCAGTTAGAATGAGAAGTTATTGTGTTCCAAAGTCTCGGCCAATCAAATTGCTCATTATCGAACTTAGTCCAGGTATTGATGTAATGAAACTATACACCAAGTTTCATCACTCTTACTTAATTAGAACTAAAGTTATTGTCTCCCAAAGCATCAACCAATCAAATTGCTTATAGACTGCTTACCCTAAGCAGAAAATGCTCATCTTCGAACTCCATCAAGGCATTGACCTAATAGTAATAAACACCTGCACCAAGTTTGAACATTCTAGCTTAATTAGAAAGAGAGTTATTGTGTCCCAAAAAGTGTGACGGACAGATGGACAGACAGACAGACGGACGAACCCATTTTAATATTCCCCTGCTTTCTTCGAAAGGCGAGCGACAACAACATGGCATATTGATATATGGCGACGTCAGCTAAACTTTCCCGGTTGTAAAATGACCACCATACATGTACACTCTAGTCAATTATATACACCTTTATGGGTACAAATAAAGTATTTATTGTGACAAAAAATAACCCAAAATACCCCCTTTCTTGGGGTCTAAATTTGTCCCTCTTGGTGATGGAAATAGGTAAGTATTTTGATAGTGAAGACATGGATTGAAAGCTACATTGTATCTTAAATTGAAGGTAAGGGAAGTTTCTATCCATCAGGAAAGAAATGTCAAATTCAACAATCTTAACATTTGGGACCTAGAAATTGACACAAATGGGTCGATCACACCGCATATAAATAATGTAATATAAATGTATTTAAACTGATTTACATTCAATCAGTTATGTTCGGCAAAATATGCCAGAAGTCTCAATGCAATGGCAATCTGTAGAGTCTGGTTATTCCAGTCTACACAGATAGTATTTATTGCGCATGCTCTCCAGTTAAGAATACAAGGTCACCATTTGACATGACATGTGGAATATATGTCTAGCCTCGTTCTTCGAGTCCTTTGTTACAAATGGCGCTGAAACTCATTATTATGATACACGATTCGTGGACCATAATGGACAGGCAAAATGTTTATATTTTGTCTTAATTATTGGATAGCCCAACTTTTCCAGGTAAGATCACAACATCAATGTTGATTTAAATTGACAAATAATTCATGTTTTCGAAGTCGAAGACTTTGGATGATATTTAGAGTAGGCTAGAGCACTTCAAAAGTGTGTAACGGACGTTACAAATTCCGTCCAAAACCAACCATTTTTTATTGCATTGATTTTCAAAGTGTGGCTCACAACCTGAATCTATATCTATGTTTATGTTACAAATGAAGAGGCATACTTGAGTGATATGATGTAAGTATTTCTGTTGATCTAGAGACGTTTGAGAAGAAACTACTCGCATTTTCGATTGTCCACTCGAGATTCCGTGTTGGGCTGAAGTCAGCGGACGTTACGCTGAGCGGACGTTTTATGACCTTGACCCTCATCGTCGAAAGCTGCGGTTAACAAAACACAATGTTTAGCGTTGAAGTGAGCGTACGGAATGAATAATAAATGTCCGCACTACTAATCTATTTAAACCACTGAAGACACACAATAATTGGCACGAAATGAAACAGTCTTTATCCCCCATTTGATCTGTAGCACCATAGATAATTTCGGAAAGTCACTGGAATACACGTCTCCTTTAGAGGAAATAATTACGCGACATGATTTGGAATCAATGATATACGCCGACGATACCCAGGCGTATATAACATCTCAAGACCCAACAAATGTCATTTCATCAATAGAAGCATGTCTTGACGAGATTCGATCATGGATGTTTAAAAACAGGTTAGTTTTGAACGATACAAATATCGAAGTCATGCACTTTAAATCACGTTTCAATCATACCATAACATCTCGGGCAATATATTTAACCTCATATACTCAATGTATGAAAACACCTCGTATAGATTCAAAACTACCGATGGGCTTTCTAATTCAATAATTTCAAATATGGGTGTAAACAAGGCTGTGTTCTAAGTCCTACCCTCTTCAATATCTATATTAATGATTTTCACACTTATTTAACCAATTCTGATAACGATGCACCCACTCTAGATAATACCAAAATTTCACACCTTCTCTTTGCTGATGATTTAGTTCTGATTTCCTCTACAGATATTGGTCTTCAAAAGAGTCTAAACTCCTTGGGACAGTTCTGTTCAGACTGGAAATTAGATGTAAACACAGATAAATCTAAAATAATGCTCTTCTCTAATAATAAGAAAAAAATTAATAAAAGGTTCCATATTGGAATTCATAACATGGATATCCAACAACTCTAGCTTTAAACAGGCCATGTCAGACTTAGGGAAAAAAGCGAAAAGAGCCTGGTACAGTATCAGAAATAAAGTTTGCACATCTGACTATATTCCTACCGACGTCTTGATCAAACTGTACCAGGCCATTATCAAACAAATAGCAACTTACGCAAAAAATTCGCAGTTGAAAAATGGGACAAAATTAATCTAAACCAACTAACTATAAAAATATGCAAATCCATTTTGAATCAACCACTTAAATCGACCAACGTTGGATGTATTGGGGAACTAGGAATCTTCCCACTAACGTTAGACACCTATACCCGCATGCTTATGTATCATAAAAGGCTAAACGATGTTAGGATGAAACAAATATTTCCTCTTCTTTCAGCAGCCTATACTGAAGATAAAACTATATCCTCTAAAAATCAATCAATAATTTAACTTCGAAACTCCAAATAAATCATGTTCATTTGCTAAATAAAGAAAATATAAAGAAATCCCTCGAATCAAAATTTAACTCCTTCTACCACATATCTTCTAACTCCAATAACAGCAAATTACGTACATATTTCATCTCAAAACCTACTGTTACCAACTCTCGAGACTATTTATATTCGGTTAAAAATAGATATCATAAGAAAGCTATGACCACACTTAGACTCAGTACGCATCACTTAGAAATAGAGAGGGGCCGATACAAAAAAATTCCTGTTGATCAGCGTCTATGCAAATTTTGCGATTTAAATTCGATCGAAAACGAGCAACATTTTTTGCTATACTGTAGCAAGTATGAAGAAATACGCCAAGCCCATTTATACCCAGCCTTCACTGGCGATTCCTAAGATTTCTTACAATTTTATTAATCTCTTTACACCACCAAAATTGATTGCCAAGGCAGTGGCTTTATATGTGTTTTTGGCTTTTGATAAGAGAGCTAAATCAAATATGGTAATAATAATAATAATAATAATAATAATAACTTTATTTTCAAAGGGTTGAAAATTAGGCCAGGAGGCCTGTCTTACATTTTGCCCTTTATAACAGAGATAGAGAGAGAAATGGGGTTTAACGTCCACTCGACACAAACTAGGTCATTTCGGGACTAACATATGGTTTAATTTTATTTACATAATTCGCTTGCGCGTAGGGGTCTTTAGCAGTGGGAGGAAACCGGAGGACCCGGAGAAATCCCACGAGGTTGGACAGGCGACCCTACTCCTTGTCACGTACAACCGGGGATTCGAAACCACGCCAGTCGACTCAATGACAGACTTTATGATACAGCGCGCACGCTAACCATTCAGCCATCCCCCCTCCCCCCTTTATAACAGAAGTTAAAGAAGTGAACAATGAAATTTGAAAACAGAAGAGCAATATTTACAAAAGAATATTAACAAAATCACAATTGAAAATATTAATTACAATCACAATATAATAAAGTTGTCACACACGAATCATATAATTATCCTCTAATATTATGCTTATGGTACATGTAAATAGACAAATTAATGAATGGAAATGACCATAATATATTTCTTCCGAGCGCTCCCAATGTATAAAAGTACTACTATATAGAAGACTATACTAGGTCTCTACGTAGTTACAAATTTAAATAATTGCCTTCGAAATGAATAATATGATTTACAATATTTTAAACAGTCAGGTAATGAATTCCATAAATGGGCACCAGTAAATCTAATACTGTTTTTAACAACAGATAGATTAGGCCGAAGAATGACAATTTTGTTATTGATATTAGAGTATGGAGTATCATAGTAGCAGAGGATGTTGGTTAAATATGAAGGGCATTGTTGATTAATAATTTTGTAAATAAATGCATATTTGTTCACTAAGTGACGCTGTTTAGTATTTAAGAGTTTGATTTGGGCAAGGCCTGGAGCCAAATCTATTGTATGTTCTAAACCTAGAATCAATTTAAAGGCTTTGTTTTGTTGACGACTTAGTGTGCTCAAAGCAATAGAGTCACCCTGATCCCAAACTGGTGAACAATAATCTAGATAGGTTTGTATATAGGCTTTGTAGAACAGAGAACGATATTGAAGTGGTAGTAGCTGCTTGATTTTGCGAAGTTGGTAAATCTTCTGATTCACAATTTTGATCACATAATGTACATGGTAAGTCCACCGTAAATGGTGGTCTAAAATAATTCCCAAAAGTTTGAACCTGGGAACAGTTTCGATGACTGAGTCATTGATTTTAATACTAAGTTCGGACGATAAATGTTTACGCTTCTGTCTAGTTGTAATTAACATGGATTTTGTTTTGACCTCATTAACTATCATGCTATACTATTCAAAAAAAGTAGGGGATATTTGATTTTTAAGTGTTATTAAAGTCGCCTAATGAAACTGACGAAGAAACAAATGACAAAATGAAATGAAGTTCACATTCATCGATTTATTCCAAATGATCGTTAGACTAAGTAAGGCACAGACTGACCATTATAAGGGTAAAATGATACCCGGGGTCAAACAGCAAAGTTACCACAGCATCACAACCAAGTCAGTAACGGGTAAATCCTCCTCTGTTTGCCAAACAAGCATTGATCCGACGTGGCATACTCCTAATGAGACGTCTAAGGTCATTTTGGTCCAGATTGTCCCATTCCTGTTGCAACGCAGCAGCAAGTTCTTGGACATTGGCAGGACGTTGTTGACGTTGACGTAATTTCTGTCCAAGCATGTCCCAGACATGCTCGATGGGGGAGAGGTCGGGACTCAGTGCTGGCCAAGGTAATGTGGTGATGTTCTGTTGTTGGAGGTAACCTGTAACGATCCTGGCCCTGTGACATCTTGCGTTGTCATCCTGGAAGATGAAACGGCGGCCATAGCCTGCTTATGACAGACTGAGAAACATTCATCGTCCGCGCCACAACCGCCTGTGTTGTGCCGATCTGTAGCATGCCAAGGGCACGTAACCATTCATTTTGGGTAAGCCGACGCATATCAAAATTTGTTTTCTGGTCACTAAAACAATTAAACTGATGTTTCCACCCTGGAATTCAATGCCACAATGACTGTAACATTCAAAGTCAGAGTCGTGCAAATCTTGGGTTGGACCCCCATGATGATCCCAAGCATCACCTGCATTCCATGTGGTAGCTATTGGTGCGTTTGGGCGTCACATGCAACTGGAAATGTTTCTTCTGTTAGGTTCTATAGTGACTTTTTTCGTAGTCATTTGCATATTTTAGTATTATGCCCCCAAAATCAAATATCCCCTACTTTTTTTGAATAGTAACTATTATGTCTACACCAATTCATCACCGTATCTGTATCAATTTGAAGATTGTTTTGAAGGTCAGAAACAGTTTTTGCACTAGTATAAATGGTTGTATCGTCAGCAAAAAGATCACATTTAGAATTTAAATACAGAGGTAAATCGTTTATAAAAATATTAAATAATAAAGGACCCAAAACTGAACCTTGAACTATTGGTTAACAAGAAGACAAATCACCATTTACAAAGGTCCTTTGTTGTCTATCAGTCAGGTATGAATTGAGAAACATTATAGATGTCTTGGACAATTGATATAATTGCATTTTTTGTAGTAACAGCTTATGATTTACAAGGTCAAATGCTTTCCTAAAATCAAAGAAAATGGCCCCACATAAAAGATTATTATTTAGGGAGTCATACATATTTTCAGTAATATTAGTTAACGCAGTCAAACAGGAGCTATTAGATCTGAACGCGGACTGGTTAGAATACAACAAATTATATTTATTAAGATATTCAGTAAGATGTGAATAGACATGTTTTTCTAATACTTTTGATAAACTTGGTAATATGGAAATTGGTCGGTAGTTGTTTGGATCATTTTTGGGTCCATTTTTGTACAAAGGTAAAACTTTAGCAGTTTTTAAAACAGTAGGGAAAACATTCTGATCAATACAAATATTATAAATATAGGTTAGGCTTTCAGAGATTATGTGTGCACCTTTTTGAAGAAATAGGGCATTAACAGAGTCTAGACCAACGGCTTTTGTGATATCTAGAGCTTTTAGGGACTTATTAACTTCTGTTATTTTTATACCTGGGATATGAAATTGAGCTTGAGAAGGCACATGATTATTAACAAAGTCAGAAATTTTTGTCCTATCGATATTATCAATTGCTGTACTACTACCGAGTAATATGGTGGCAACTACATGTAACTGAAACCCCTTCCATTCGTTTGATTTGTGATATTTCTTTATTTGGTGCAATGTATATTTAATGTCTCGTCCGCAACTTTATCTTGTAGATTTTTGTTTTGCATGTAGTGCGGTCCTCCTGCACTTACTATTTGATATACATGTACAGTTGTACATGTAGTATACTGTTTGTATGAATGTATTGAGTTGTCTATGTAATATGTATTATTGAATGTATATGACTATGTCTAAGTGTATATGTATGCATGCTGTCCTTCATGGACGTTTTGATGCAATAAACATCTATCTATCTATCTACCAACCCTGTCCCATCTATTCGAGTGGGATAAGATAAGATAAGATTTTATTGTATCAAAACATCCATTAAGGACAGCATACAATATGAACATGTATATAAAGATATAGTATGACAGATAATAGATATATACATGTATTTACAAACAAGACAAATGATAATTTTACATAATTACACATTTACTAACAGGACAAACAGTACGATAATCATCTCAGAATACATATTTACCTCAAACTGGTCTGATAATGACACAACATTCAACACAAGTATGATGGATGGGTATAAATATTATAAATACATAAAAAACAGAAAGACTTAGTATAGGTGTTGACATGGAAATATGATATAGGAATGCTAGAAGCATTACATAAATCGATTAATAAAACGTGGAATAAAATATATCAATACATGGAAATCTAGATAATAATTTTGATACAGAAAGGTATATAACTGACTTATACTAAATACTTTTTCGAGAAATAGAGATTTTTTTCTATTTTTCCCAATTTCAAAAGCATTTTTCATTTCACAAATTTATCAAAGTTTCCCATTTAGAGCCCCCCAATTATCTCATCGCAAACGCTTATTTCTACCCAGGTAAATGATGTCAGTTCACCGCACGTGCATTTCACGGTTTAAAATCAGGTCAGGGAAAATGTTCATAACAGGGATATTGATTGGTTGAGAAAAGCAAACGTCTGCCACACGAGGAAAAATACCAATTGCATAGGAATATGGTGACACTTCGAGATCAGTACAAAAGATTTGATTTTAACTTTTTTGATAAGCAAGGTATATTTGCTAATTTCCGCACAGATCAATTCATTAACTTCGCGAGATATTGACATCCACTGACAGACAAAAACAAGAACAGCCATTAAATGAAAACGAGTTGGAATTGTAGAGTTCTCAAGTTTGTAGTGTAGAAAATGCCAATGGATTAATTTATACTAGTAATATATTTGGATTACGTGCTGTGGATGAGAATAAACCGCGACAAAATGTGAAAGTTTTTAGTGTTGAAAATGCCAAGAGATTAATTTATAATAGTAAAGTATTTGGATTATGTGCTACGGATGAGCATAAGCCGCGACAAAATGTGAAAGTGCGAATGTGAAAGTGCGACAAAATGTGAAAGTGCGACTAGACATCAAAATGTAAAGAAATGTGAGACAAAATGTAAGAATCTGACTGAGAGTGACGCACATTCGACAAGTGCTGAGACAGTTGAAAATGATGACTCTTTTACCATAACATGTTCAAAACGGGTTGTAGATGTTCAAATAAATATGTAAATCATGATTTTGTTATTTTTGTCCCTTTTCAACTGATACACGGCCACTTTTCAACTGATACACGGCCACTTTTCAAAAATGGCCGTGAAAAGTGGCCGTGTATCGGTGTATACCCTCCCATTTTCATCAAAGAGTCGAGAAAAAGTATGGGTATAAGTAGTGATACATGTACATGTAGCGCTACACAATTTATGTTCTTAGATTCATCGCATGAAATACAAATGCACTAACTGATTTTGAAACTGTTTTGGGTGGGTTAAATAGATTTTCTAGAGAATAGGGTAGATAATTATCCGTAAATGTTGGGTATATGTAAACGGTACGTAAATTTTCATACAATGGACATTCTAGTAAAAAATGTGCTTCATCTTCAGTTTTGTGCATAGAGCATTGTTGGCAGGGTGACGAAGCTATTTTACCATCAGCTTCAGTACGAAATCTCTAGTGTAACTTTTGGTAATTGGCTGGTTGGGATCATGGCTGATTGGGACCTGGCTGACTGGGACCAGATTTGTGGCTGATTGGGACCAGATTCGTGGCTGACTGGGACCAGATTTATGGATGATTGGGACCACGACAAGGCTCATTCGGACCATTACTTAAATGACGCGAGTATTTAAAATATGTTTGTATATTTTTGATAATAAGACAACTATGACAATAAATAGTGTAATTAGTCACAAATAATAGTGTAATTAGTGAATGACGGCTTCAATACAAATGGGCTAAATCACAGAGAAGATGCTTCACATTCTTGGCTGATTGGGATCAGATTCTTGGCTGATTCGGACCATGATCAGACCAATGACGAGAGTGTTTTAAATATGTTTGCATGACAATAAATACTACCCAGTATTATCAAATTGTAACCCAATATCAAATAGCCTCATATCAGTATAATTACTGCAACAAATGTGATATTTTGTAATGAGTAAAGTTGAAAAAATGACAGACAAATTGTTCTTTGTATAATATTTTAATTAGTAAATATCATTTTATTTCATATAACGAGACATTTGGTGGCGATTCAATTCCTTTAAAAACCAATATTTTATTAAAACATACACATATTCAAAATTATTTCATATAAAAAGCGGTAAAATACATATTTTATTAATACCAATCAACCACAAATCTGGTCCCAGTCAGCCACAAATCTGGTCCAAGTCAGCCAGGGCCCAATCAGCCATGGTCCCAATCAGCCAATTACCATATCCCCTACCTGTTTACTTGTGTTAAAATTGAGTCTATAAATCTATTATGGTTTTTTTCTGTACAAGGTAGGATAAACATTTTGACTGCTTTTATATACATCATATTTGAAATAACCGATTACCGTTGCTACTGTATTGCTGTTATTAATTTTCAAATTTGTATGGTTTAAACATTATTTCTATAAGTACATAATTACACACAATATATGTATAATGGATTCAGATTTCCGTTATGCTACTGTATTGCTAGTATTAGTTTTCAAATTTGTATGACTTATTGAAATTAGCATAAATTGGTTTAAACAGTATTTCTACGTATAATTACACACAATATATAGGCTATAATGGATTCCGAAACAAGCTATGAAGTTTATAAAATAAAAATGGTCTGTTTAAATTGCATAAAACGTATGATAATTTACACAAGATTAATGAGATAATCTCTGTTAATATAGTAACTGTGACATAAAAAAAATGGAATATAAACATTAAATACCGTAGACCTACATAAAAGCACATAATTATAATCAATATCAAAACCTCAGTTTCAAGTATTTTTTTATCGTGTGGTCCGAATCAGCCTAGTGGTGGTCCCAATCAGCCTGGAATGTGGTCCCAATCAGCTTTGACTTTTGGTCCCAAACAGCCATGGTCCCAATCAGCTTGGTTTCCAACTTTTGACTCTGACTGTTCACTTGAGAGTTTCGTATCCCAAACATGTAAAAGTGTTTTATTTGCTATTTTTAAGATTGGACGAATGCGTAGACTCCTTGATCAACTAAAAATACTTGTGCACGCAATGATAACGTCGAAATTGGATTACTGCAATTCACTATACCATGGAATTAGTGTGTCACAGATGAAAAAACTCCAAAGCTTGCAGAATGCAGCAGCCAGACTTGTTACGCTAACTAAACAAGGAAGTTTGAGCCAATATTTTCAAAATTGTAAATAATAAAGCCCCTGTCTATCTCAATGAACTGATAACGGTTAAACGTCCACTTGTATCGACTAGGTTTAACCAATCGCCCCTTATTGCATATCCTGCTAAGAAATCGAAAAATAAATTTTATGGCAACAAGATTTTTTAGTCAGTATGCTCCAACCCTATGAACTCCTTATCACACAATTGACCTTTCCGTCGACTCCGCCCACAATAAGGCTTTGACCAATCAGCTCCGATTACAGTTTCCCGCGAAATGACGTCGCGTTACCACGCTTCGTCACCTTGACATTTTGTCGTGTGTTCTAACGTCGTCAATCGTGGCTAAACATTGCTCACACGGACATCGTAACAGCAATAGCTTCTATCCACACAGGTTAAAGGGTCGTGTAGTGTCAGTGTGCAATCATTTACCGAAACACTTAAAAAAATATATGGGATGTGTCTTCTAGGCCTAATGGATAAGACTGTTGTCGAAGTCACCACTCCCAGTTAATGTAAACAAACGTCAATTCTAACCGGTCAAGTGTGTTCTAAGGTAAGTAAATTAGTTTCCATTTAGCCAAATAACAATAAAATATTATGTAGATTCTAATTATCTACGCCTTTATCGTCTATGACACATCGTCTGCTAACATCCGCCATTTGTCAAAACACCGGGAGCAATTTGTGTACTGTACTGTGTATGTTACTGATACTGGCCCATCTTCTTTTATGGTATTTTTACGAGTTGTCTCACATTATTCCATACATAACATTCCTTAAGTTCATACGCTTCTCAGTTCCCATTCCGTATTGCAGAATTCGCCAACAAGGGAGGAATTTCTATCTATGCCCACCCCTTCCAGCTTCAACTAAGTTCAAGGCCCACATAGGCTATGCCTAGACAGTCTAACCGGGCGGTTTGTAACTTTGTACGTTCTTATACTATACGGTAGGCATATTACCACAATCAAACGAAGGCTACACTAGAGGCCTAGGTCTAATTCTAACTATCTAAGATGGTTTGTCAAGGAAGGCAATTTAGGCTAGACGAGATATCTAGAGACATTATTATTTGGTTTGTTGAACTAGGCCTAGTACTAGTAGTCTTAAATGTAATGCTTGAGTACTTTGTAATTCAAATGACATGTTAAATAAAATGATTTTCAGCACTTTCTGAAACTGCCTGGACCAATAGAAAATAATCCAGAACCATATTCAGCTCAGCAATAAAAAGACAGACAAATTGTTGACAGGTAAATATGCCAGCTTGTTAACTAATAATAATTTTATTATCAAATTAAAGGTTCACAGGGGACATTAATACAGATCATACAAACATAGAAAAGTGTTACTCCCATTTTTCATGTTACTTGGCCTATTCTTTTCAAATACATTTTTCCACTGAAAATTTGTTGCTTTGTCTTGCTAGTCATATGTAAAATTCACTTTAGGCCTATATAGACACACCACATTATTAATTATGTGTACATTTTATCATCAGTCTTTAAGCTTATTACTTCTTTATTCTTTTACAGCTACATTCCTGAAGAAGAAAAAAAAATACCAAGAATCAACAAAAAATGTACAAAGAAATTTAACATGTGATTTCACTCTCTGCAAGGTCTGTCGCCTTTTGGTTCAGAACATACATTGTAAAACTGTTTGCATAATTATATCTAGTCATTTAGATGTAGCTTAAACACTGTACATGTATTTTTAAATAAACAATATTATTACTTACCGGTATCTACTATCTTGAAGTGTATTCTTTCATGAAATATCAAAATGATTGTGTTGTTAATCCAGACCAGACTATGCTAAACAACTATGATGATCCTTATTAATTTAAATATTAAAAGTTTTAGGACCGCAGAATGGCATACGTTGTATATGCCCCCCCCCCTTCCTCATTACGCTTCACTCACTTTTATTAACTCAACCATGCTTACATTTGCCGACATAGGTGATAATAAACAAGTAGAATTTGCTTACCCAATCTGGCAGCAATAATGTTAGTCTGTTACTTCCTTTTAACGAAATAAATATGGTTTCTCGTTCTATCTCTTGACAGTTCAGACTTCAGTGACACATTGATGCTTGATCTGTCAATCGCCTAAAACAGGTTCGCGTCAGGAAAATATCCTTCATTATAGTACCCGGGGCACTGCTTCTTTACTTCAAACTAACAATACACTTCTCTTTCAAAAATATTCCAAAAAATTAGCGGGAAAGTCCAAAAGATTGGCAGAAGATTGAACGTCGTTCAACCATCGCCATGCTTGTTTATGTCTAAGGCGCGTCAATGTTGTCTAAGGTGACGTCATTATAAAAAGTGGGAGGAGCTACAGGTCTCTGACGGAAAGGTCAATTAAGCTGCGCAGTGAAACTAACATAAATGTTTTTAAAACAAATATTAAAACGATGTTTTATAAATTAATTTCTTTGATGTGTTCTTATTTTAGCTTCGATTAATTCTTTTTTAGTCTTGTAATTTTTTTTTTTATATTGTAAATGTAAAGCGCATTGAGATATTGTGCCATTTTATATGTTGCCTTGTAATGCGCTATAGAAGAAATTATTATTATTATTATTATTAATACACCGCAAAACAGGTTGAATTAATTACCGGTTAAACCGCAAAACACTTTAATGTCAATTCTGTTTACCAAACGTCCGCTGCGCTGCTGTTTCATTTTCTTGAGCCACTCAATACTTGGCATTGAATGAAAGAGTGTTTATCCCTCTTTCATGTGGCACCATAGATTATTCTTGAAAGTCCTCAATATAATCTGAAATCCGTCCTAGGAAAGCAGTACCCCCCCCCCCCCCACACACACACACACACACGTCTTGTTTGTCAATTCTGTTTTACCAAACGGCCGCTGCTATTTTATTTTCTTGAGCCACTAAATACATGACATGGAATTAAAGAGTGTTTATCCCTCTTTCATGTGGCACCATAGATTATTTCTGAAAGCCCTCGATTCAGTCTTAAATCCGTCCCAGGAAAGCTGCCCCTCCCCCTCTTTTATTTCCATAATCATGTATGCTGTCCTTGGTGGATGCAATGATACAATAAAATCTTATCTTATCTTATCTACCAAACGTCTGCTGTTTCATGTTCTTGAGCCACTCATTACATGGCATGGAATTAAAGAGTGTTTATCCCTCTTTCATGTTGCAACATAGTTTATTCTTTAAAATACTCGTCATAGTCTGAAATACGTCCGACCCCCCCCCCCCCTACTCTTTCTTTGTGAACTGTGCTTTACCAAACTACCGCTACTATTTCATTTTCTTGAACCACGCAATATTTGGCATAGAATGAAAGAGTTGTTATCCCTCTTTCATGTGGCACCATAGCTTATTCTTGAAAGTCCTCAACATAATCTGAAATCCGTCCTAGGAAAGCAGTATCCCCTACCCCCTCCTACGTCTTGTTTGTCAATTCTGTTTTACCAAGGTCGCTCCTATTTTATTTTCTTGAGCCACTAAATAAATACATGGCATGGAAATAAAGAGTATTTATCCCACTTTCATGTGGCACCATAGATTATTTGTGAAAGCCCTCGATTCAGTCTTAAATCCGTCCCAGGAAAGCTTCCCCCCCACCCTCTCGTTTATGTCCATAATCATACCAAACTTCTGCTGTTTCATGTTCTTGAGCCACTCAATTCAATCCTATGACGGATTTCGGATTATGCTGAGGACTTTCAAGAATAATCTATGGTGCCACATGATAGAGGGGTAACCACTCTTTCATTCTATGCCAAGTATTGCGTGGCTCAAGAAAATGAAACAGCAGCGGACGTTTGGTAAAGCACAGTTCACAAAGAAATAGTGGGGGGGGGGGACTTTTCGGAAGTATTTCAGACTATGACGTGAATTTTAAAGAATAAGCTGTTGTAACATGAAAGAGGGATAAACACTCTTTAATATTCCATGCCATGTATTGAGTGGCTCAAGAATATGAAACAGCGGACGTTTGGTTTGATTAGGGACATAAAAGAGGGGGGGGGGCAGCTTTCCTGGGACGGATTTAAGACTGAATCGGGGGCTTTCAGAAATAATCTATGGTGCCACATGAAAGAGGGATGAACACTCTTTAAATCCATGCCATATATTGAGTGGCTCAAGAAAATAAAATAGCAGCGGCCGTTTGGTAAAACAGAATTGACAAACACGACGGGGGGGGGGGGGGGGTTACTGCTTTCCTAGCACGGATTTCAGATTATGCTGAGGACTTTCAACAATAATCTATGGTGCCACATGAAAGAGGGATAAACACTCTTTCATTCTATGCCAAATATTGCGTGGCCCAAGAAAATGAAATAGTAGCGGTAGTTTGGTAAAGCACAGTTCACAAAGAAAGAGTATGTGGGGGTGGGGGGTCTTTTCGGACGTATTTCAGACTATGACGAGGATTTTATAGAATAAGCTATGTTGCAACATGAAAGAGGGATAAACACTCTTTAATTCCATGCCATGTAATGAGTGGCTCAAGAACATGAAACAGCAGACGTTTGGTATGATTATCGACATAAAAGAGGGGGGGGGGATTTAAGACTGAATCGAGGGCTTTCAGAAATAATCTATGGTGCCACATGAAAGAGGGATAAACACTCTTTAATTCCATGTCATGTATTTAGTGGCTCAAGAAAATAAAATAGCAGTGGCCGTTTGGTAAAACAGAATTGACACTGCTTTCTAGGACGGATTTCAGATTGTGTTTTGTTAACCGCGGCTTTCGACGATGAGGGTCATAAAACGTCCGCTCAACGTAACGTCCGCTGACATCAGCCCAACAATAAAGGTTGATGCTATATCGCACCTAGTAAAAACATAAAAAAAGGGGGGGGGGGGCTACCAATAGCTAAATGAACAGACATTCTAACGTATTTGTAGGCGGTAAATAAAAATTCTAACCACGCCTTGACATGATCGGTGAAGGTCGCTTTCTGGATATTATTCAGAGCAGAGAAATATGGCGACGAACTGCCAGCTATGGCGACGGACCTGCCAACAAAGATGTTTAATTCCTTAGAGGAAGCACAACGACAATTCCTGCTCTGCTGAATACTCTAATCACAATTCCAATTGCTGGGACCATTCTATAGAAAATTCTGCTGCGATAGCTCTCCCGTCAAAAGGCAAAACCTATAAGTAACTCACTTTTTTATCAAAATTGAGTTAGGACCAAATTTGTAGTTACTTGGGTATGTGCTTCCTGTTGTTGTACTAGATATTCCAATCTTTTGATTTTGTAAGCAGTTACACCCATGGCACAACCTAGCAACTTCCTCTATTTGCCTCGTATACCACAGCAAAACCTAGTAACTCAATAGTCAAATCAATGGATGAGCTGGGGTTTAATATTCATTCATTACGTTTTCCTTTGTTTTCTCAAAATAAGAAAAAAGTGAGTTACTACTAGTTACTAGGTTTTGCCTTTTGACGGGAGAGCTATTCTGACAAAAAAATTACTCTGGTGTAGTGGCTATTCTGCCGAATATTTCTACTGTGATGGATAATCTCACGAAATTCCTGATATAATGGATATTCTAAAGAAAAATGGTGCTGTTGGAACCAATCTATAGAAAATCCTACTGTGGGAACCAAGCTGAAAAGCCATTCTGGTGTAATGGCTATTGTGACGAAAATTCTGGTGTAATGGCTATTGTGATGATTTTTATACGCCCACATTTTTATGTGGACGTATTATGCCGTCGCCCCTGTCCGTCCACAATTGTTTGTGGACTCTCTACAGGTCACAATTCTTATCCGATTTTGACGAAACTTGAAATATAGGTTTATCCCCAAAAGATCTCGGCTGCTTTCGATATTGGCATGTATCGGATCGAAACTTCATGAATTATGGCCCCTGATTGTATGAAAAATCACGTTTTTAGCTTGTGGACCCTATAGAGGTCACAATTTTTATCCGATTTTGTTGAAACTTGAAATCTAAGTTTATAACCCAAAGATCTCGGTTCCTTTTGATATTCGCGCATATCGGACCGTAACTTCCTGAATTATGGCCCCTGATTGTACGAAAAATCACGTTTTTAGCTTGTGGACCCTATTTTTTATCCGATTTTTAAAAAAAACCCTATTATTATATCACGGTTACACCATAAGGACGGCTGAGTTCGAATTTCGTGAAAATCGGCCCAAAACTGACAGACAAAATGGCCGCCCTTCGTTCTCAAATAGCGTAAAAATATGGTATATCAAGGTTGTGGACCCTGTAGAGGTCACAATTTTTATCCGATTTTGTTGAAACTTGAAATGTAAGTTTATAACCCAAAGATCTCGGTTCCTTTCGATATTCGCGCATATCGGACCGTAACTTCCTGAAATATGGCCCTTGAATGTAGGAAAAATCACTTTCTCTTTAGCTTGTTCTCTATCCATCTCTCGAAAACGTGGGCGTATCCTGCCTGGCAGCCGCTGGTTTTTTCTTGTGGTGGATAATCTTACGACAATTCCTGCTCTACTGAATAATCTAATCACAATTCCAATTGCTGGGACCATTCTATAGAAAATTCTGCTGCGATAGCTATTCTGACAAAAAAAATGTCTGTTGTAGTGGCTATTCTGCCGAATAATTCTGCTGTGATGGATAATCTCACGAAATTC